ACATCGAGGTGGCGAGTCAACTCGAGAGAGGAGGACCATGGTCATGTTTTCACAATAAGAATTGACCTTAATTGCAAGAAGGCAATAGATAAAAAGAGAAATACCCTCTATTATAGATTCGGGATAACACCAGTTCAGGTCTAAGGACAGACCAAGTTAAAGAAAATGGAGACAGACCCTCCAGCCTCCACCTCACGCGTACCTCAGCCGGAGAGAAGCCAAACGGAGAAGGCCAAACTAAAACCGTGTAGGGGTGTATACCCTCGTAGAAGGTAGATGTCCACTACTCGAAGGAAGAATATCAGTTGTCGGAGGAGGACAGGAAATACAGGGTATTTCCCCCTACAAAAGAAAAATCCCCATGTATGATATGATGAGTTCTAGACTTTTTTTTAAGGGATTTAGGAAATCAGCTGGTAGAATATCCCCGCCTGTTGGTCTAACGGCGAGGGTTGTATTGTGTCGGGTTTGCTTGTAGCAACCGACTAAAACCCTCTCTCATGTTTTCTCTCTCAAGTGCGGTTGGAACTGCCCTAAGAATTACTTCCTCACAAAGAATCCTTGTGACAATGTCTATACGTTTCCTCTTCTATCTGTTCCTTCATTATATTCGTCATTAGTCTGTTGACATTTTTCCACTCGTTCTCGCCTCTTAGAAGGACTTCTGCTACGTTGTCTTTCGTAATTTTGTGCCCGATATCGTTGTACGTTTGTACCCTGTAAGCTTCAAACTTTAGATATACAAACAATGTGTGTTCTGGGGTATCCACCTCTTCTGCACATAACCTACAACATGCATCCTTTTTATTCTTTGCAGGTATGAGCCACAGACCCCATGACCAGTCATAACCTATGATGTATAAAATTTCATATCACCCCATTTTCTTTCCAACCATTTTCTAATGTCTTTGACGGAAGTCTTAACCCACCCTTGGTATTCAGTCCATCTTGTTGGCGACTGTGCATAAGTCATCTGCTTAGCCTTCCCAGCATAATATTTTCCTCTTTGATAAATGAGGTCTCTCTTCACCAGCAGTCCTATTGGAGCCATTCCTGCAAGAGCTGTAACTGGTTCTCTTGAAGCGTTTCTGTAGATCGATATAATGCTTATTGCCATTCTACGGTTAAGTCGTTCAAATAAATCCCGATAGTATTTAAACTTCAATCCCCGATTTCAAAGCGGTGAATAATATATTTCCAATAAAGAAAATACAGCTGTTGTTTGTACCCTTCGCTTTACTGCTCTGGGACCTCCGATATTTGGCATGAGTCTATTTAACTTATTGATGGCCGTATATTTGCCTTTTCACAGATTCTTTTAATATGTGATGTAAATACATTCCTAAGTACTTAATTGCTTGTTGACTCTGTACATGATGCTCGTCAATCTTTATCAGTATTGTAAGTACCTTTATTGTGCCAGATAGTAATACCAATTAATTTTTTTATCCCTACTTGCATCTCCATTTCTGTCAGTTTCCACTTTATCAATTTCATAACATAATAATAATAATAGCTCCCGTATATAGCGTTTGGCGCCTTGGCTGTAGCAAGGTACAGCTTGCCATACTAGAGCCGTTCGGTATATAAAGAAAGGTAATGTGGCTAGCACTACGCTTCAACCGCCTATTATTACCTCAGGATTGTGAATCCCAAGTACTCATTTAAGGCTGAGTCGACCTAGGTACCCAAACTATTTTTATTTTAATAAAAATAGTCGGCTTATGAAATGCCGGGTGTGGGATTCAAACCCATTACCTTGATATTGGTAGACGAGAGCCTGTACCTTTACGCCACCAGGCACCTTGGGCACCGAGCACCGAGCACCTTCGGAACCTCATAACAGTTGAGTTTTATCTATCAGCTCTGTTTTAGATTTTGCCGTAGTTACAATCGCTAGGTCATCTGCGTATGCAATTAGGGATATTCATCTTTCCGTTTCAGTTTCTAATATTTTATTATAGAAGATATTCCAGAGTACTGGTCTTGATCAGAACATGAGTTATAGACTGTATGATGAGTTATAACTAAAGAAAGGGGAACATAATAGATCTTTAAGGTTGTTAAGTAGTGTGTATATTGTTTATTAATAAACTGAACATACAATATTGTTTATAAACTTCTAACAAACTATTAAATCTAATAAGAACAAAACGAAGCCTGAAAGCAACGCGCTTTTATTGACAACCAACTTAACCTCTCTCACTATTAACCTTCGACTATCACAATAACTAGACCCAGTTATATCAATATAACTAATTGAGCTCAGACACCGATACCAGTTTCCATCTATCTCCTTTATAAAAGAGAGTTTGCCTACCATATATATCCAATATTTAGTTGTGGTGTATTGCGATAAATTTGTATATTATGTTATTTGCTAACTTAATATGATTAAGCGACCTTAAGTGAGATGACGAGGAGAATAAATTTTTCACGGCCTTTACTAGATTTTTAACGATTATAACCACCATAGTTAATAATAACGACCAAAAGGTAAAACTGTTAAAAATAAAACACAAATTTAATGAAAATATTTGTTTTTATTAAAAACTGTATAAATGTATTTTAATGAAAATAATCTATGTACAATAAAGGCACTTTCATCTATAATAATGGCACAGGTTTAGTGCAGAATATAAAATTATTAACAAGAATTACAAAAAAAAACATACAGATTGCTGTCGTTTGCGCGGGATTTGAAATATTTCAAAAGTAAATTCGAGTCAAATATAATTCTAAGTTGATTTCAGTTAATTAAACACAATATGAATGAATGAGATTAAGAATGATGATACCCTAACGAATTACATCCAAATTAATATTAAAAACCGTCTCATTTCTTCGTCACAGTAAAATTAAAACCCTTAAAAAATCGTTACAGATTAAAAACATAAAAGTATATCAGTAAATACATATATAATATATCACAGATAAGAGTTTTGGGCAAGATATATCTAGGATTGGTCCCCTATCTTACGGAATGTATAGGACCGGCCCAATTTAAATATCCTTTATTCTATCCAGCTGTATTTAATCTTTTTATATATGTGCGTGTATATATAGAGCCAATACCATCGAGAAATAAAGGCCTGAAAGCTTACGAATAACGTCACGAAAATAGACGATGAAGAGAACTGTTTTCTAATGATTTTTAACTTTTAATTTAGAAATTTAGATTTTCAATGAAGTAAAAAGCTGATATAGCCAAATAGTTCTGAAGCTATCTGGCCATGAATCTCGCCAGGTATTGGTAGAATATTTTCGGTTAGTCAAAAAAATTAAATAAAGTGGATCGCAACTATAAACATATATACTTTGTAATAAACAAAATCCAGTGAAAATATTGATACAAAAAAAAATAACTACACAAATATTTCTTCAAAAAAGTTCTACGTGTATTTCGCCGCTGTTAGAAAATCGCTTCTCTGATTTTAAAGAACACAACATAAATAAACATAAGTAAAAATTAAAAACAAATTAAAAAATAATCATACAGAAAGTCTGAAGCTTTTTGGGTTTACCATTGTATCTTGATATAGTGTCATTTTAAAAGAACGTCAAAGGTTTTTATAGACGTATTTTTGTTTGTTTATTAGTAAACCACTGCTGACAATTAGTATCCGTTGAATTAACGCCGCAGTGTTAACAAAATATAACTATTTTATAGTTACTAAGTTTTTCTTGCAGTGACGAAATACCCATAGGACTTTTTTTAAGAGATTAATCTGCCACAGAGGCGTAGACATTTTTTATACAAACATTGTTTTCAGATCATTACAGGTACTTTATGGTAATTGTGTCTTTTCTTTAAAAAAGCAAACAAAAAACTAAAATAAATGAGATAAAGGCAGCAATAAACATCAAAATATTCGAAACATAATTATTATAAATGCTAAAATTCCTATTGTATAATAATCTTTAAATATAATAATTACTGCATAAAAAAGTATCAGGTAGTAGAATAAAAACGACGCCACAGTAGGTGTATAAATAACATTCCAGTTCAAAGTTACCTATGACGGATATATAAAGCTCCAAGTAAAGATCATGACAGTCGTGTGTGAAATAAAATATTCGAAGTAATTGTCAAAAGTTTAGAGACCAATACAACAAAGTATAATTAATTTATAAATATTAATTTTGTTATATTTCTATACCGTAGTTTCGTAGCTAAATAAATACTTCAAATAGCTGTCATGTATCCATCAGAAACATATATACTATGGGCTGGCAAAGGTCTTGGTTCGAGATTTCCGTATGTAAGAAGAGTGCACATTGCTAAGAGGATGGTGATATAGCAGATTTGTTCGCAGTCAACCGGTCAACCCAATCAGTACCTCTGTCACTACTTAAAGTTCCAGGGAGAGGTGTACATATGCGTTCAGCTTCACGATTTAATTACGTCTCGTGATACTTTGTTTATTTATTAACGAGTCGCTGTAATTTTCCCTATAGCTTGAAAATTTTTAAGTCAAAGTTAGAAACACTTACATTTTTGGTAAAAATAAGTGGAATTGAGTTGGTGTTAGACAGTGGTCGTGCTATTAGAACTCTGAATTCAAAAATCGAGCTCTCGAAATCTACTAGAAATAATTGATGGTAGTTTTTTCAAAACATTTCTTAATATTTCTGTTATATTTTCTTCGCAGACGGTAGGTGAAAATCTTTATAAATAAAAAAATTATTGCGATTGCTGAAAATCGCTATGCACTAAAAGTAAATGGATGGGTTGTTTAAAATTTTTGAATGGAAAAAAACAACCTTATGGAATTTTTCTAAATAAAAAAAAAGTTTCTAAAGTGGTTTTTAAGTTATGGCATGTTATAAGTTTTCAAATTATTATTATTACTGACGTTTCCTCGTTATAAAAAAATGGACACCCTAACGATCCTGAAAATTCCATTTCAGATGCTCAGAAACATATTTAACAATTTTATCTAGTTATCTTTTCGAAAAAAAAGTCTTAAAAATAAGCGGTTTGCGATCGTGATTTTACTTTACTTGATAGGGAAAGGCGTACCGACAACGCCGACTTAATTTGATCCCTATGCGATTTACTTCCACTCATGTAAATACCGACCCAAAAGTGTAATAGTTGCCAGCACGGTATAGCAAAGCTAGAACTAAAATGTATCTGCGTCTACTGCGCCAGTCAAAAAACTTTCTTTACTGTAAATTCTCATATTCAAAATGTTAATATATTATAAACAATACGTTGTATATATGTTTGTAGTAAAGCCAGACTTCAATATTATACAGAAAAGTTTAAATCTTCGAACCCATGTCGAACGACTAAACCCTACATTTTAAACAGACATTATTTACAATAAAATTTGTTATAAAAGACCAAAGAGAATAATATGTACATTAAAAAACGCCACGTGTAAAAATGGCTTTCAGTTATTGTCATCTGTGACAGTACTGGGAAGCCAGCGTCCTAAAATCTAGTTAAGTAGCTTAATTTTAAATGGATTCTCCTTATCGAATATGCAGGCACTATAATATTTATTACGTCGTTTCGAGACATGGTCGAAACAATTTTAAAAATGCCTTCGTTTTACACAGCCTTTTTACCACGTCGGGAAGTACAAAAGGCCATAGGTTTGTACATTACTCAAAAATATCAGTCCAGGGCTGTATAAAAACACCCGCAGTTCTGCCTTAACACTAAATAACAGCATCGTCTCTAAAACACTTCAAACTATAGCGCCATCTTTACATTTTTGTAAGGGTTGCAACTCCCTCCTAAGCCTGTCTACGTCGTTGTAACACTCGTGATCACTCTCCTCCTCACTGGCTTTGTGAGGAGGCAAGTACACGGCCTTGACTACGTCACTGACAGATGATGGTGATGGAGGCACGACAAAATCAGAAACATCAGGAAGACCTACAGTCTGTTCGATCGGTGATTCGTTGCCCATAAGGTATTCCGGATTGTCGATGTTGTTTTTGAATAAATCGGTGTAAAGATTCGCGTTGCTAGCGTGGTCGGTGGTATTCTTCAAGTCGAGGTAAGTCGAAGTCGTTTGGGTGTGCTGAGGCGAAGGCATAAGGTAGTCGTCTTCGTCTACGGGGAGTTCGAGTTTGAGGTTTCCTATTTGGGCCTGTTGGGATTTTCCGCTGGAGTCGTATTCGTCCGAACCCATGTCAGATTCTCGAAGTTTCAGGGAATCTCCGCAGTATTTTATGGAAGAGATGTCTGACTGGGTGCCTTGGAGTGAAGGATGGAAGTGACACGGCATTCCTTGAGAATGTCTGAAATAAAATAAAAATATAAGACTTATATACTTCACGACCTAACTTGTATTTATTAGAAAATGAACCGCATTATTATAGTCTGTCCAACAAAAAGATACATTGCAGTGACGATGCCCAAGTAGCATTTTTAGACATAAAAACAAAATCTCTGCTGAGAATAATATTGCGAAACAGTTTCGTCACATTTTTGATACATATATGTTTCGTAACATAAATCGGTTATTGTTTCGAAACATTTTACCAAAATATGGTTTCGCCACGTATATGCAATAGTACGAGAGCTAGCAACGTCGGAAAAACAAGTATTTTAAGACGTCTGGCTCTTTGATATATCTTTTACTATGCTCTCTAGAACGGCATGCGGCCCGTCCGGCTGCCGGTAAACGTTGCGTTCCCTACTGCGCATTGAAAGAAGATCCTATATTTTTATTAGTTCTTTAAATTCTAGTATTGAATACAAATCGAACATGTTTCCATAGCGCAGTGCGTAAAGTTTCCGACCTCAAACCGATGATTCAGAGTTCGAATCCCGGGTCAGGATAAAGACTTTTTTTATATTCTGATTATTATGACTTGATTTATATATATATATATATATATATTATTTGTTTTTTTTAATCACCAGATTTATTATATACCAGAACAAGACAGGAAAAACATTGGACAATAAAATCTATTTTTCCAAGGATCGATAGTTTAAAAATTAGTGTATTTAACAACATCCATATTTTTAAAAAGAGATGTGGCTCACATTTACACATTTTGTCCCCGTTTTGCACCTGAAAAGTTTCCATAATTTATTTGATATTTCTGTCAAATATGAGAACATAACCTGACATTATTGTTTGGATTTTGTTCGGTAGTTTTTACATTTAAGGACTCTTCAAGTATTTATAGTAGTATAATTAAAAAAGCAGAAGGATATTGCATATGGTGAGTACAAATACAGATATTTTTCTTATGCGATTTTATAATAATTTATTATACGCATTACAGAGATGATTTGTTTTTGGTATAAATGCAATAATAGCCACTACCCATACCCAACAGAAGACTGAAGAAAAATTTTACCAGCGAACGTTTTTTTTCTCTTTTTTCCACAATGGAATACATGTTTTTATGTTTTAATTGTGTTATAATAAGTAAATAAAAATGTTTTAATTTTATTGACCAGAAGTTTTGATTGGCGTTGTTGACAGGTGACTAGTTCAAAATTTCTACACAGATAGCGCCAAATCGAAACATCTTGCAAACAAGGTTTCCATTTATTGTCGATTTATTTTCGAAAACCCGAGTTTCTTTCTTTTTAGACACAAATGTGATATAATGTAGATGATTTGTGTCAGACTCCATGTCAATTTTATAAAATAATGTATTAAAATTCCGCCATGTTGGTTAGTGATAGCGTATTTATTACAGTTGAGGGTTGGAACCTTTGGTGTCACACAGCAAAATAAAAACACTAAATCACCACAATACACCAATACCAGACATTTTTTTGTGCGAGAAAATATTATGGCAGAGGTCGCCATTGTTGATGGTTGTTTTCATTTTGAAATCCACACACAGACATAGACTCTTTTAGTTTGGTATTTTGTTTCTTCACATTTACAAATAGTGGCTGCTGAAAACGGGAACGTAACTTGGGACATAAATTGCAGAAAATGTTTGGAAACATTTCCTCTAAAAGTTTTTATTTCGCATCGAAACACTTCAGCAAACGGCTAGTGCCACCACATTGGAAACACATGTAATAAAGCCATATAAAATATATAGGTTTCGAAAATGTTTCCTATTTGTGGCATACCGTTTCCATTTTGATGTGTCCAAAAATGCTACTTAAGTGGTGTCTGTCATTCAATAAAAAAATAGCTTAGTTTGTTCTATGTTCTTTCTGTGTGAGTCCAGCTTTGGCTTTTTTATATTTTAAAAATTTGTGGCTCAGGAAAACAGTCCGCCAAGAAAAAAGCATATCCCAAATTTCAAAATTATGTAAAAGGATAAACACTACGTGATTTAAAGAAAACAAAATCTTTAAAAAAGTTCCATATATACTAACCTCAAAAGTTTATGATTGAACTGGTTTTGAGAAGAGGGATATATCGAACTTCCATCAGGTGTAGGAGGTGCTGTGGCTCTATACCGATCAGGGGTTGGTGATATCGACGTCATACCCGAAAGTGACGTCATTCCCGTCGAATGCAGTGGCATGCGCGACTTCGGCTGGTGCATATAGTCGTCCATTTCAGAACTTTCCGTGTTTTCTGATGCCAAAGACAAGACAATATCTCTGTCGCTCTGTAAAAGATAATAAAAAAAATAATTAACAAAATGTAAACTTGAATGTGTTTAAAATAACATACCATAGGAGTACTTAGTCCTCCTTGGAACCGAAGGAACTTGTCACCAGGGATAATAAGGTACCTGCCAGGATCAAGAGCCATCTTTGAAAATTCGTCTTCTAATTCCTTGAAGCATGGTCTGGTTTCGGCGTCTAACATCCAGCACTTGATCATGACCATGTAGACTTCTATGGTAGCTATGTGAGGTTGGGGAAGTCTTTCACCTTAAAGAATATTGATCAGCATTAAATATGTTTCAATAACATTTCGCTTATTCTATTTTAGAAATATTTTTAACTTAAATCAGGTGCAAAGATATATAGAGTGTTAATACCAAAGACATCTAAATAAAGGGAGACAAAACAATTTACATTTTATCGCGATCACGAACCGTGTTCCGCAAAAATAGATGATGACAGATTTACGCGGTATGTGATAGAATACGGTTCGAGTTCCAAATGGTATATTGTTATTAATGTTTTTTTGGGTAACTATAACACTAAATACCGTATGATCGAAAAAAAATGGCGTCCAGTTGGCTTGGAAATGACGATCGATGACATTTCCCATATAATTTTACATATAAAATGACAGCGATCTTCATTTCATAGCCATCGCTGACGCCATTTTTATTCGATCATACGGTATATCAACTAAATATTTGTATAGGTATATAACTTTAATTAATATACATAGGTTGTGCCAGGATCATACCTTTCTAATTAAATTATATTAGGTAAATTACAATGACAACTAGCGGCATCACTGTGGATTCATCTTTACTACGAAATTGTGCGAAATTTTTAGGTATTACGCTGACATTTGACGTTTTCATTTGTTTTCATTCAACTTATATTTGACAGCGCGCGGTTGTGAGTTTTCTGCGGTAGTTGAAAGTTTTTGTAGCTTTTGAACAACTTTCTAATAATTATTAGTGTTTATTGCAAAAAAAACTGTTTAAAATAGTTTTTAACTATCTACGATGGTTCGCGAGTGCATGGTTTGTAAAAAGGTGGATCATTCTAACCCGGAATTGATATTTCGACGGTAAGGCGCGGTGTTTTCAGTTGTAAATAAATAGCTTTTATCTAACAAATAACCATCTAAAAGATAAACAATCTAGAGCCTGCTATCTATAGGATATAACATTTGGGTATTTTCATACAAAATAATCCAAAAGATAACAATTTGAAGGACGGGCCGCATTCGGACCGTTAGATACTCCGTAGAGAAAGTGCTGCCAATATAAGATATCTGAAATTGAGATAGTTATATATGAAAACTCTATGCAACAGACAGAAACAAACACTCGGAATTTCAAATCGGTAGATTAAAAAGTGAGGTTATTATTCAGTTGTCAAAAGATCGTCAAAATGAAAATAAAAACAATAAATTTCAACTAAAATATATTTTGTGTAGTGATGGGAATAATCGAATTATTTTCACCATCGAATAATTAGTAATAATTCATATTTCACAATCGAATGAATAATTCGAATTATTTAGTAGTATTATAAATTTAACCTAAACATAAATTCGTCCCAGCTAGTGCTCGTCTAGGGGCTATTTTAAACAAATTCTGAACCATTGCCATACCTATATTCTATCACTGAATAAAAAATAAAAAAAAATATTCTTTATTCAATGTATTCTATTAACTGTGCCGAAGCCGTTTAATAAATTAAACCATAATTTAAAGTTTTAAATTTAAAAGTGCCGAGTATCGTATTTTTTCGTATTTCTTTTTATTTTATCAGTTGCAATCAATAATTATTTAGATAAAAGAAGAAAATTAATTTTAGTGTTCGGCAGGTGTTCGGTGAAATTTGGGTGAGATGGAAATGAACCAAATAATAGTAGTATTCTTTCGTTCTGAACGAAATGAAAATTTTCACTTAAACTGATTTATTCCTACGTGGTATAGGAAATAACAATGATTTCTGGATTTTCTATATCGGATCGTTCCTTTCTTTGTCGATTCCCTTTATAAATCAGTTTAAGTGAAAATTTTCAGTTCGTTCAGAACGAAAGAATACTACTAATAGTACTATACTAATTACTAATATTCGTATTCGTCCATAAGAGGTTATGTTTTATGTTGATTTGTAATTCGGTTAACCACAGATATAATATAAAATACTACTAATTTTTATCTCGATTATGTCGAAAAAGATAATTCGAATTAGTTAGTTTTAATTTACTATCGAATTAGTCGTATTATTTAATTCGAATTTTCCCAACACTAATTTTGTGTTCAACTCTGATCAGTTTTATTATGGTAAAGGCTAATTAATTTTACCTTTATGGAAAAAGGGAATCAGTTTCAACAGTTGTGTGAAATAGATCTATTGATGGAATGCGATTTATAAGAAATTAAAAAAAGAAAAAAAGTATGTGTAAGTAATTTATAATTTAATTATATGATATTACTTATTTTACTTATATTATACTTAATACTTATATTATTATATTTATTATATTAACATTTTAGTACAATTGATAATAGAAAATATGGAAGAAACTGGTGAAGTGCAAGCAGAGATTTATAGATAAATCCTAAAACCACAATCTGGTAAAAAAATAGCATAAGGCTGTTAGTAATAACAAATTAATATGTATTGTTGTAGGTCTTCTCATAATAAAGAAATATGTAGGATAGCATCGCTGATAGTAATTAAGGTGAGTTTTTATTTTATAAAATAGATAAATGTACTTATATTATTTTTCTTTAGAAAAGCACGATTGAGAATAAGTATATTACAACCTCAAAGACCTATTGGTATATGATTTTAGATACTTTTTTCTTAATTAATAATAATAAATTTAGAGCACCTATAATAATTGTTACATTAACACATTATATGTACAAATTATTTAATAAAAAAAAATTAAATATAAAACAATTTTGACATTGTATTTTTATTTTTAAGAACTCAAAGTGATTCTTCAAAGTGGAACTTCAAAAAAACCAGAAAAAAATAAAGGAAAAATCTTGTGTAAACAAAGTTGATATTAATAAACCTTTTAACCGTAAAAAAGTTGAACAAACTGGAATTCAAAGGAGGTGTTTTAAAAAGGTTTAGCTAGAGAGTTACTTAAAAAACAGCATGAAGAAGAGATGCATAAGGTACATAGTGCAAAAAATTAAACTAAAATTGTAACACAAAAGAAATAAAAGCAAATTGAAATGTTAAAATTGAATAACAGGTTGAATTGAATAACAGGCAAATTGAAATGTTAAAATTGAATACTAAGGTTCCTGTTATAATATTAATGAATTAAGATAAGCAAATAAAAAATGAAATAAACAGTTTGATTTAAAAAGTTTTATTTATTTTTTACCTACTTTAGAGCTTTTTTAGTACGTAATGGTTTTTAATTGAAGGGATTTAAGTAAAATAATTTATAACTTGCCGTTGAGTTATATTTTTACTCGGTAATTATACATATTTCGTCACTATTATCCTGACTTAATGCATTCTCTTCGTTCTGATACTCTAACAGAGGCTCTTTTTATTTTGTAACACTCCTTATAAAGTCTTAACAACAATAGTTTTTTGCACCATTTCAATGTGTTTACTGATGTTTATAACTTATCACGTTCACGTTCTAAAATGGTTATAGTCTACATACTCAGAATAGGTAAGTGTTTTCGAAATAATCTATAATCGAATTTATTGAAATAAACGAAATCTACAATAACAGTAACAATGTCTTATTTAGGTTATGTCTGGTTATGTTAAGCAATTTTATTAAAAAAAATCAAAATCTCCTCATGACGCAAATTTTTATCCGACAAATAAACCGCCATTTGGCAGTTCAGGTCCCAAATAGGATATCTGACGGATAAGATTATTTTATCTAATAGATATTGCTATCTATAGGTATCTACGTTTTTCAGCTATCCATCAAATAATATATATCTGGCGGATTATAATGCGCTATCTATACCTGAAAACACCGGGGGTAAGTGTCATTACGTTTTTTACCTTTAGCCATGTTTACAGTAGCGTATTTAGATACTTTTAGTTATAAGTAGAATACATACATACAAAAATACGTATATTTCCTTATTCGTTGGCGCTTTCGATTGTGAAATTAGAGTTACCCTCAGTTAGACCTCAGGCAAAACTAGTTATAATGGAAAATTGGTCTGAGACAATCCCAATCAATTTTTGATAAAATTCAACAATTTTTGATAAAAAAAATATCACGCCGCTGATAGAGCCAAATGACAGAAAGATAAACGAAACTCAACCATGTTGTCATATTTATGTAGCCATCTCTTTTTAACTCTCATAAAAGTGTCAAACCATGTATGATTCTAAAAAATTGAGTTTTATGAATGGAGTGTTCTGTCTACCTATTTAGATGCCTTTGGTTAATACTATATCCTCCAAGATAAAAAAAATCATATGATTACAAGTTAACCCAGCTAGTTAAAGCGGTAGTAATGCCCCTTTATACCCTTCAAGTGTTGGTAAGGAAGTGAGTTTTGTTGATGTAAATAATAACTGTTTATATATTTATAATTAATTCATTTTTGTTTCCTAAAAGATTTTGATTCAAACAAAATATGTAAAAGTCGGCAAGCTGTGTCGGTCAAGCTTAATTACGTGACTAAAAGTTTATTTGGTATGATCTATAGTAACATGATTAATACCTTTTTCTAGTAACTCTGGCACATCTCTAGCTGGTACATTATCATAAGGTCTTCCGCCAAAAGTAAGTAACTCCCAAACAGTAACTCCAAAGGCCCAGACGTCCGATTTGTGTGTGAATATCCTATGTTGTATACATTCCAAAGCCAGCCATTTGATTGGCATTTTACCACCGGCAGCCCTGTATTCTTCCTCGTCGATATCGAGAAGTTTGGCCAATCCAAAATCGGTGATTTTTACACAGCTGGGTTTCTGTACTAGCACGTTTCTTGCTGCTAGGTCACGATGCACCAATCGTTTCTCCTCTAAAATGATAAATAATAATTAATATATTTTATCTACTAATTCACTTTATAAACACTACAACTAAATATTAGAAATAAATCCAAAAACTCTCAAAATACAAAAAAAAACACAAACTTAGAAGAATAAAAAATCTAAATTACAGGCTAAAGATATGCTACCCCTAAGAGAACCTTCATAAAGTAAAATCCATTATTATAATTCAGGGTTGGAACTTTTTTATTACAACAGCAAAATAAAACACTAATTTACCATAATACACCAAAGCACTTTTAACACTGACGACAGTGTTTTGGTGTATTATATTGTAGCGAATTGTAGCAATGTTCTATTTTACTAAAATCCACTACTAGTTGAAAATGTATTTTTTTAGTTTTTAAATTGTTGTTGGTGCAAATTTTATTACATAATTCTAAGTCATTTGAAAGACAATCTCTTTCATCAAAATTGGAATAAGAATTTAAATATTACAATCTTATTCATAATAAACGATTTTTTATAAGTTTAATTTTAAATGAGAAGGAAGGAATATAATACTATTTTCCTATTCATGCATTAGAGATAGAACCGACGACATATTTGATAACCGGACATATTTGACCGTTTTGTTTGACGTATCATTTGACGCTTTTGAATTTGATTAGATTAAAAATAATTAGAATAAGTCAATTTTACTTATTATCAATGGAAATATTTTAAGAATTTTAGTAATTGATAACCTTTATTGGCTCATTGACATAAACATATTAATGACATATCAAAGCTTTAGTTTTGTTCTTTGAATAAGAAGACTAAGGAAGGAGCATAATTCTATCCATGTATTCATGCATGGTGGGCGGAAAAACCACCATAAAAGCTCTCTAGGGTGGGGATCCTTGACAGTTCTGTTTGACGATTCATTTGACACATTTGAATTTGATTTGAAATTTTGTGGATTTATCAGTCTTTACGGAGCTTATTTTATGTTATTTATTATTTATTCTACTACTGATAGTTAATATATTATAAGGGTAGTAAATCTAGATGGAAATTGTGACAGAACTTAAATTAACAGTGACACTATCGCGATTTATCGAAAAAGACTCTAAAATAGTTGTGTAGCGTGCGGTAGATCTCGGCAAAAATTGAGTGAAATAATGGAACAACTTTTCGCTAGTAAGTGACTATATAATATACATACGTGTAGTAAACCGATCATTTATGAAATTCACTTAAATTAACTAAATTATATATTTTTCTTGCATTTTAGCTTTTATTTATTACTTGTCAAAGATTAGATGTCAAAGAATTTAGATACGTTAATTTGACTTACCTGCTTCAGTAGCGTATCGGATGTTTGTGTTAATAAATACTTATTATAACTTATCTATTTTTATTAGAATTATATATTTTTATAACAATTTTAATAACTACCAACATTTATTCACAACGTAAAATAAAACAACAAATTATTGAGTCTACCCCACGTCTACCCTACATCATAGTTTTACATTTTTTAAATAAAATTAGAACGACACTGATAAACCGGAATTTAAGTCGGCCATATTTGAGGCCCATCGCGGTGTACCTAAAATTTTTGATATGCTCCTTCCTTAGTCTTCTTATTCAAAGGTTTTGTTGATATGCCTAAAGGTGCCCATTCACATACAGTTCGCCCGCAGTTCCAGGACTGTACGATCTGAACTGAAGATCTAAACTTTGTCAGGCCACACAAAATGCAGTTACGTCGAACGATGCGATCTTCAGTTTTGAGATCGTCAGTTTTGGGACTGCAGGAAAACTGTGCTTTCACCATACACACAAACATATCGTCAGTTTTAATCGAATGATCTTTTTGATAGTCTCCGAAGTAAAAAAAATGGTTTTAAATAATAACGCTAGGAAAAAAACCTAGCGGTACTTCTCGTGCATTTTTTAATTACAAGGGCCAATTATAAAGGCCAAAAATTGTTACCGGCTGAAAGATTGGTTGTTACAACGTGATACATTGTGTACAGGGTGGGTCAAATTCGACGCTTTTAAATGGAAACACCCTTTTCTATAGCAGATAGACGAAAACTAATATCGGTGTCTGGAGCTCAATTTTCATCAAAAACATGATGGTGAAAACCGTACATCAATATCTGTTACCGTTTCGGAGTTACGGGGTGTTTTTCAAAAATGTGCATTTTTAACAAATCGCTGTAACTTTTTTGCTATGGAAAATTTTGTATTTCTATGAAAACATTTCCAAAGCACCTTTTTACGTAGAATTTAACGGTTTAAGTATATTTTTTTTAAAATTAATAATTTAAGAGTTATCAACAGAATAATTGATTTTTTATTTGGGACACACTATATATTTTTAATTAACTGAAAAGAATTTAAAACTACCTTTCCAAAAATATAGCACCACTTGATATTTTATTATAATCCCCTTCGAAATACAGAATTTTTAAAAGTTCGCCAATTTTAACTAGTAGGCTTTGGACCCCTTATTGATGGATATGCTCTTAATGGAACCCGAAAACATATTTTTCCAGCAAGACGACGGACGCACCGCCTCTGAACGCTAAAGTTATCAGCAAATTTTTGTAGCCAATTTCAAGAATAATTGAATAGCTAACCAAGATCCCAGCCATTGGCCGTCGAGGCCGCCTGGCTTAGTGCCCATGGATCTAATCCTATGGATATATTTGCGGAAGAATAAAGGTTCCTTATTCTTCCATATAATCTAAATAAGAATTAGAAATACTTAGCAGTTATGAGAGGGTATCTTTCACCCCCACTGAGTTAATGAATTCCGCGAGAAATGTTCAAAAACTGCCCCGTCTGTCCATAACAGAAGACGGTCGATATATCGAACATCTGTAGCAAAATCTCATGTCTTGGTTTGCTATTTATTTTTATTGTTATTAGATATAGTTTAAATGTGTTGATGTTGGTTAAATATATTTTAAATTGTTATAAAATTCTGCATCTCTCATAGGAAATATTATTTTCGTTTTAATGGATGCTCACAGCTAGATTTTTTTTGCATTACAGCCGGTGCCGTTCAAAGCCTACTTATTTAAAGCCGGGCGAATTTTTATATACTCATATCAAGTGTGTTATATTTTTAGAAAGGTAATTTTAAATTCTTTCCAATAAATTAAAAATATACAGGGTGTCTCATATAAAAAATCAAATTTTCTGTTGATAACTCTTAAATTATTAATTTAAAAAAAATATACTTAAACCATTAAATTCTACGTAAAAAGGTGCTTTGGAAATGTTTTGATAAAAATACGAAATTTTCCATAGCAAAAAAGTTACAGCGATTTGTTAAAAATGCATATTTTTGAAAAACACCCCGTAACTCCGAAACGGTAACAGATATCGATATGCGGTTTTCACCATCATGTTTTTGACAAAAATTGAGCTCCAGACACCGATATTATTTTTTGTCTATCTCCTATAGAAAAGGGTGTTTCCATTTAAAAGCGCCGAATTTGACCCACCCTGTACATGTCATATGAAGTTAAAGCGAAAATTAAAAACTAGTGCAACAGATGACCTTAAAAACTACCTCAGAATGGATGATACATGTTATAACGAACTTTTAAAGATGGTTATGCCCTTAATATCAAAGAAAAAACTTCACCTGAACGTTTTGATTTTCTCACTTTTTTAAGTTCCTTTTGGAAAGCACTTCGCAAGGTTTTACAGAATCAATAGCAGCATTTGTATCAACAGTTTTATAAAATTACAGCAATTTTTCATAAGATTTAGTTTTTTCGTGTATGTTTGAATACCCTTTGCTTTGTATTTTCCACAGACAGGGAAATTTCCTATACAAATCATTAAAATCAGTTAAAAATGTCGTATAATTAATTAAATCGCTCATCTTGATAATGCCAAACTTCCAACTTGTCACAAGATGGGAACGTTACGATTAGAACTGTCAATTTTTCGCCATTCACTTCAGTCGACCGTGAGATTTAAAGTAATCCGTAGATTCAGACCTGTCGACGCGACGGTCTGTATGTGTGTATAGAAATTTTAACTGACGATATACAAATAGTTCTGGACTACAGGCCAACTGTATGTAAATGGTTACATTTAGTCAATTCGGTCAGGGATTAGATCTAGCTAGTGTCTTACTACCTTTAATTTGAAATAAGATGACTTAACATTGTTAATTTTATATAATAAAACACCAAAATTATGAAGCTTGTATTAAAATTTTGTAAAAAGTATCATAAGAGTCCATTTCACTAGCCCGAAAAAGTAGCAAAATAAGCGTTCGGCATTTAACGTTTTATGTAAAACTGGTTAGGTAATTTTACACAAATGAAAGATAAAGAATTATACTATATCCGTATTGTAGCACATTTTTAGACAACTTCTTTATTTTTAAGATTTTGATGGTGAAACATCAGCAAAATATTCCTTATCTTTGGACTAAATTTTCTCGAAAATAAAGACATAGTTTAAAATTCCGTTGCAATACGGAAATAGATTGAAGTTTTGTGATTACAGTGATATATAATTTATATGGTTTTGCAACAAATTGCTCGCTATTTTATGACAAATGCTGAAGCTCTGCAAACATGCAGAGCTTAACACAACAGGATCGGGCTAAACCTTAGCAGATTTCTGAAATATAATATATACTTCGTTCGGCCACATACCCGCTTTTACCCGACTTCTGAGAGCGACACAAACAGTACAGCGTAATACACTCTTAAGAGGTTTTATTATTGTCGATTTTGTAGTCCATTTTATTTTTTTCTCAGTCATTTGACAAAAAAAAAATAATAAAAATTACACATGTATTAACAACAGTCATACAAAAAAATATCCTACCTAGATAAGCCATTCCTCTGGCGATTTGAGTACACCAATTGAGCAAAGTTTTTGAACCAATCTTATCATGATTTTTCCGGACAAAATCCAGCAAACAACCTAATGGCATTAGTTGAGTGATGAGCATCATCTGCGATGTCATACAGACAGCTAATAACTTTAGCAAGTTTGGATGATCCACGCTGGCCATGATATAAGCTTCGGACAAGAATTCTTTGCTATTATTCGCTGTAGTATCGTTTCTTAAAACTTTGATTGCAACCGGGATTTTGGTGGAATTTTCACCATCGATTGCCCATACGCCTTTGTACACTACACCAAATGCACCATATCCCAGAGTACTTCCTTTTCGTATTTCTGTATCTTTGATGATTCTGAGTTGGGCAACATTGGGCTGGACGTTACTGTAAAAATAATGTTTGTTAGTGAATGTGTGTGTGTGTGTATTTTTTCTAAATTTTGTTGTATCCTTACCTGGGTCTCAAGGGTTCGTTGTCATCAATGCCAGTCAAAGCCATGCTCATTTTCAAGGCATTTTCTTTGATTTTTTCCTTCTTTTGACAATAGCAAAGGGCTCCAATAACCAAAATGACAACTACCACACCGACAACGAAGCAGATGCTGATAGCCACGTAGGTTGAATTTTTTGATGACATGAGTGGGATGCTCTGGGGTTTGTCGGAACAGTAAGCGTCTGATCGTTCTGGGTAGATCCTGTGAGGAAATTCTGGAGGACATGATGACACGCATCTGTAATACAAATAAAATAAATCCTATATGATTTTTTTTATTTTGTTTGTTTTAATATAGTTGTTTTTGTACTATCTTCTAAAAATATACTTTTAAGTGAGATATTTCATTATCGGATATTGATTATTTGAATTAAATAAAATTCAAGCGATTTAAATTTGTATAACAAAGTATACAGGGTGGTCCGAACTGTATTCTGGAAACTTCGGCAGCATATTCTGCAGATAAAAATATGTAAAAAAGTTCGTATAAGTGTATGTCTTAAAATGCTTAGTTTTGGAGATACAGGGTGTAGAAGTTTCATTTTTATTTTGATTTTTTCCAAATAAATTCTGAAGTAACGTATTATTAATAATCCAAATAACGTAATATTTGGATGAAAATTGGTGTCTAGGAGTTTTTTTTTGACATTATAAATTTTATTTTGATATCTACATGACTCCTACTTGTAGAGGGCGCTACCTACATATTTTTTAATTGGTTTGAAGAGTAATAATTTTTCGTCTGTGCCTGTATAAAACTATTGAGTAAAAAATATACATTTAAGACGTTTTTTACGTAAAAAAGGCCTTGTGATAAAAACCTTTACGAGTAATAGATCTCGAGATATTTTGAATCGGAATTATAAGTATCTGTCTTTGTATGTTGACAAATAGTTATTAGACTGAAATAATAAATTTGAAATGTTTTTGAAATGCCAAAAAAATTTGAAAGGCCAAAAGGTTCAATAGAAACTGTTTTATCATCATTTTTTCGAAGAAAAATTTAATATTAATTTTAAAAAACAAAAAGTTCCCAAATTTATCATTTCAGTGAAATAACCATCTACTACTTAACCTAACCTAACCAAATCTACTCAACAAGTTTATTTTTTGTCAATAATGATATGTATTGACTATTTTCATACCAAGAGACATTTTTACGTAGAAAATCACCGAAATGTATATTTTTTTACTCAGTAAATTTATACAGGTACAGACAAAAAGTTATTATTCTTCAAAACAGTTAAAACACATGTAGGTGACGCCCAAGAACGGTAAACTAATAGGATTGCTCATCCTCATAAGACGTACGTCCGCCTCTTCCCGCGCTTCAGCTGACAGTTGTGACGTCATTGTAGTCCTTGTTATAATAGTTGCCTATGGTAAACTTATAAAAATAACAGCCTAGAAATTTTGAGTTAATTATTTTGTCAATTTTAAATGTGAAAAAAGTGTTTTTAAAGTTTTTAGAGCTAGATTTTAGAGTGTATAAATACGTTCATTTTGTGTTGTGGATTGTGACAAAGTGCTTACTAAGTGCCTACGATATTGTTTATTAATTATTTTAAAGCAAAATATGGAAGTACTCTAAAAAGAATGCCTTGCAAAAGGTGATGCTGGGAACTGCTATTCTTAAAAATGCATTATCCGAGTATTTAATACGATTTATACAGTTAATTTTCTATACTGCATACATATAAGGTGTTTAAATAAGTAAACTAAATAATGAACGTTTTGCATCCGGCAACCAATAATGCACGTGTATGTATTATTGGTTGCCGGATAAGGACTAATAACCATGACAAGGACACATATGACATCACAAAGCGAGGAGTTTTCGCATGCACCTGGCAGACACTTTTGGGTGAATGAGCAGTTCTATTAGGTTAACTGCTCTTAGGTGACGCTCCCTACTAATAAGAGTCATATTGACATCGAAATCAAATTTCTCACGTGAAAAAACTCCCAGACACCAATTTATCGTTCAAATATTGACTTTACTTACAGAAATTATTTGGAAAAAATTGAAATAAAAATGAAACTTCTACACCCTGTATATCCGAAACTAAGCATTTTAGGACATACATTTATACGAACCTTTTTACTTATTTTTATCTGCAGAATATGCTGCCGAAGTTTCCGGAATACAGTTCGGACCACCCTGTATAGCACAGACGTAATAAAAACTATAATTTAGCTTACCTAAAAGTGTTATTAGGATCAATATATCCATCGTCATAAAGTCTATAGTTTTGACAGCCAATACAATTATCAGGACCCGGTCCCTTACATCCTCTGCATTCTGGATTACAGGCAATGCACACATGTGTAGCAATATCAGGATAATAATCCGTCATACATTCATCCTCGCATAGTTCGCCTTTCTTGAAATTGGTGCATTCTTGACAGACATTGACGTGGAATCCGTATCCATTGCACCTCTTGCATCTCGGATGACATTTGCGACATATCGCTTTTCCCGTCATGCTCTTCAAATGGGATTCTTCCTGGACTTGGGGTCCAACCCATTCTACAAAATACCCTTCTGGACAGGGATCGTTGATGTGGAGGCAAACGTCGACAGTGGCATTTTCGTTCATGATGGCTCTTTCGCATGAGTTGCATCCGTTGGCACCCAAGGTGTTGAATGGACCGGTACAGCTAAAAATTAAAAAATATTAGAACTTATATACATTTCGTCTCAATGTATTGTATTTAAGATTCTTTACATAAACAATATCTCCAAGAAAATCCTTCTATTGGATTTTTAGTTTTTAATTTAAGAAAACATCAGAAACTATAGACCAATAAGCTTACTACCAGTAACATACAAGATATTTACAAAAATAATAAACAACAGAATACAAAACATCCAAGACGCTGCACAACCACCAGAACAAGCAGGCTTTAGAAGCGGTTTCAGCACGATTGATCACATATATATATACTGAGAGCCTATCAGCCGAACAAAAGAATTCGAACTTATAGCCATAGCCTTTATAGACTTAGAGAAGGCTTTCGACTCGATATATCCTAAGGCAATAATAGAAGCCCTAGCGAAACAAGGTATTGGCTGGCCTTATATAGAAACTCTCGCCAATATATACAAAGAAGCCAAAGCAAGAGTAATGATATATAAAACAACCCCAGAATTCCCAACGGGCAATTGAGCACGACAGGGAGACGCGGTATCCCCAAAGCTGCTGACAGGAACATCAGAAGAATTCTTCTCTTAACTGGACAGGACCAGCAAAGGAATAAAAATAGATGGAGAATATCTTAACCATCTAATATTCGCTGATGACATAGTCCTAATTGCCAATAGTCCTGTAGAACTAAAAGCACACATTGATGTGTGACACATTGAACTAAATACAGCCAGCAATAAAGTTGGTCTCAAAATAAATTTAGCAAAAAATAATGTACATCGAATTAGTGGAAAGAAAACATGCTCTAATAAATAACATAACACTGGAAATAGTAGAAGAATATATATTTGGGACAACTAATACACAACTCGGGATTTCTAGAACAGAAATCTCTCGAGCCCAGCATGGAGTACTTATGGAAGAAACTCAATCATATTCAAATCTTGAATGCCGACCAATGTGTACTACCAGTCATGACCTATGCATGCGAAACCTGGACACTTAAGCGGACATGATAAGGAAAGTGCAGGTCTCACAATGCTCAATAGAAGGAAATATGCTTGGAATAACCAAGAGAGACTGTAAAAAATACAGTGGATATGACAAAAGACCCAGGTAATAGATGATATCCACAGAGTCAAATCCCTCAAATCCCTCAAATGGCAATAGGCAGGATACCTGGCAAGAAGAACGGACAACAAATGGATCACATAAATTACAGCATGGTACCCACGACGAATTAAGACACCTAGAAGAAGACCGAACATGAGATGGGACCATGATAATAGGAAACTAACAGGGATAACTTGGACCCGCATAGCCAGCAATAGACAACAATGGGCCCAACTACAGAGAGAGAGTATGTGAAGGAGGCTACACCATAATTGGAAATGGTTGAAAAAGCTGAGAATGATGATGATGGATTTAAAAAAAAAAGATCCTTTAATTTGCACCCTTAAAGGGACTCTACATACATCGATTTAATCTGCATGCCAAATTTCACAGTTTAGATATTAAGACCAAATCGATAGCGATCTTTTCACAGTACACGTTCAGATTTTATAAAAGATAATTACATCAGTCTACAATCTATAGTCTAGTACAGTTCCCGCCAAATCTCTGGTCTGTGCAGTTAAACATATTTGGCATGTTGAAAGATATTTGTCGAAATCTCCACTATACGTTGAAATTTGGACTGAATCGAAGGACTGTACACTTCAAATCTCTCAGATATCGTTGCGTGTAGGGCCCTCTTTAGATTGATGATTTGATAGCCTAAAAATAGTAATTTCTGTCTACTTACCCATCAACACAGGTACTATGACATGGTTTGCATACTCCATTTTCAACGTATTTGTTGGTGGGGCACTTCTCAACGCAAAAAGGTCCATCCTTGAAATTCTTGCAGGTCGTACAATTATCGGAACCAGGACCAACACACGAGTGTCCACACTGTTCGTGACAGGGCTTGCATTCACGGTTGTCAGCTTCATAGATTCTGCAATAGAGAGAAGAATTTCAATTTTTTATATGCTCTGTTTAGTCAACCTTATTAACTGTATCAGAACAAATCACTTATTCGAATATAGAGAATTTCAACATTTAAAATTTTGAGATATAATGTTATATTCACTTACTGGAATTAATTTGTTAAGATATGTTATAATGAAAGTAGTAGTAAATGCTTACACAAACACCAGTAAATGTAAACAATAGAATCTTTATAATAGTAATTGTCGTATATGTAAGAAATTTGTACACATTTACTAGTAATGGTTAGCAATGGCTAGTGAGAGTAACATTTAAAAGATGTCAGTAAAAGAAATTCTTTTGTAGAAGTTGGAGTAAATAGAAATTTTAAGTACATTGAATCATTTTCAATAAAAATCTATAATATTTTAGAATGTAAAGATGTAAAAAATAATAAAATAGGACAGATATACAGGATCCGGGAAAAGTGCGTCGGGCATCTGTAGCTCCTATAATAAAAAAGTTAGAAATTTTATTTAAGTGCAAACCTAAAATATGTATTAAAATGTATTTTTAAAAATTTATTAGAATTTCTACAGGGTGACTCGAAAAAGTGTGAGTGGATCTGTATGATTTTTTAAATGGAACACCCTGTATATTACTGCATTTTTAACTTCCTTTTTGATCACTCTGCATAATCCTAAGATGTTGTTAAATATAGTTTTTTGATAGTTTCACAGATATTAATAAATAAATAAATAATATATATTTTCAGTCTTTCTTAAAAAAAATATTACATATAGAAGAACTGTCTTGAAATCAAAACAATCTTAGGTATTTACTTTAGATGGTCTATACTTACTTTGCTATAAATATCGTAATCTTAAATCATACAGGGTGCTCAAAATTCTACCCGAAACTTTCTGAAATATAAAATAATTTTTCTTGTTTCTTTACAACCATGTATATTATTTTTTTATTGGATGGAGAATTAAAAATGAACATATTTTGTATTTATAGTATTATAAAATATTTAACGGTTTTGCAGATACTGCCGTTATTATTTCATATGGCTTTTTCATTGGGTGGCTTTGATAAAAAAAATTACTGTGGAAAATGCCATTTGAAATATAAAACCGCGAATATCTGCGAAACCGTTAAAAATTTTGAAATACTCTAAGACAAAAAATATTAATTTTTTAATTCTCCATCTGTCAGAGAAATATATAGGGTGTTCCATCTGAAAAAAAAACAAGAAAAATTATTTTATATTTTAGAAAGTTGGGCGTAGAATTTTGAACATCCTGTATGATTTAAGATTACGATAATTATAGCAAAGTAAGTATTAGACCAATCCAAAGTAAATACCAAATAGAGTTTTGATGTTCGAATTGTATTTTAAATATATTTTTTTAAAAATAGTTGAAAAATATATATTTTTTATTTATTTATTAATATCTCTGAAACTATCAAAACATATTTACCCATATCTTAGGACTGTGTAAAGTGATCTAAAAGGAGGCCAAAAATGCAATAATATAGAGGGTGTTCCATTTAAAAAAAATCATTCCGATCCACTCACACTTTTTTGAGCCACCCCGTAGAAGTTAAAATATTTTCCTAAAATACATCCTAGTACATACTTTAGGTATGCACTTAAACAAAATTTCAATTTTTTTTTATTCTAGGAGCTACAGATGCCCAATTCACTATTGCCGGACCCTATATAAGGTAACAATGAATCAATAATAAAAAACTAGTTTATAAACTAATATGATTAAGTAAAAATATATTCAACTGTGTTTGATAAGCGCCAAACAGAATCACTCATGAATGCCATGAGTGATTGGCATATGTCAATCATGATGACAATTCATCATGAGTCAAAGCCATGATGAAAATTGGCATATGTCAATAAATAATCGTTTACGGCAGAGTACAACAAATCTGAAAGACATCCTCTTTTATACTAAATATAATATAATAAAATCTTACCTTGACTGAACTCTGCAATCCTGAAGACATTTGTTTCCCAGTTTGTAGTAAGCACATGACAGACACTGTTCCGGACCAGGTCCCCAACAGCCATCTCTACTACACTGAGGATCACACACCAATCCTCTAGCCTCGCACGACCTCGTCTCACCGTTGTTCGACAGCATCAACGAATGCTCCTTGCTCTTCCTGATTTTATCCCAATTCAACCCGTCAGCCAGACACAAATTCTTATTTTCCAAAATTGCCACGCTGCCCATATTGATTTTATTCAACGATCTCAGTTCCAGAGTCTCCAGTGAGGTTTTAACGATGTAAAGTGAGGAAGAGTACTCATGTAACGCCCTTCCATGAATCACCTCTAGGTTCCTAAAGTAGGAGAGGGACTTGAAGTCGGGATGGGAAGCCTGGACGTTGAGGTAGCCTGTTATCTCTTTAAGCGTATTAAAAACTGACAGTCTATTAGGATGCATCTTTTCGTATCTCTCTCCGAAAGTGTAGTTAGGAAACACTTGCTGGAACCCGTTGAAAGTGTTTTCTAAGATATTTAAGTACCCTTCTATAACAGTGCAGCCTTTGAAGGAATCGATGTTGCCGGAGTGAACTATAGTGTCACCGATACAAGTTTTAGGACAGGGTCCATCACAGAGCACACATTCACCATCCTGAGCTTTCTTGTTTGCAGGACAAGATCTTACACAAGCTCCGTTGTCTTTTAAAAGATGTTCAGGACACTTCTTCACGCAAGTAGCACCGTAGGCGTACTTTCCCGAAGGGTTAACCTCCCAAGAATACGTTCCGGGGTTGTAGATTTGCATGGGAGGGCAATCGCTAGTACAAACGCCGTCATCGTAGAAGTTTCTACAGGCTATGCAGTCGCTTTTCGTTGGGCCTGTACAGCCTCCCGCGCAGAATAGGTGGCAGCATTCTCGGGGTTTTGGTCCAAAACATCTCCCATCGGCACATTGAGGACTGCAGGTGGTTTTGGAGAACAGTTGACAGTTTTCTTTGCCTTCACCCCAGCATCCTCTGTAACAGTCTCGATGGCAGGGCGGGCATTCGCGTTCACCCGCTGTGAAATTATAAGCGTACACTTCTTTGGCTTTTGGATCGGAAATTATCTCTTTCCAGTCGATTGACTTTATATGACATAAGTTGTAATTATTCATTATCCCTACGCTTCCTTTCAGGATATCTCGTAAAGCTGGTAACTCCACTGTGTACATTTGATTTAGAGTGATAGCCAAAGCATATTCCTCGTTTTCTTTGCTCATTTTGAAGAGAGTTCTTCCTCTGATGATTTGGAGCCTTGGCAGTACTATCCTCTTGATATCGACGTGGGATATTAAAACATATCCGGTAACCTCTCGGATGTACTGCAAGAAGCTCAAATCCAAATTGTCGTCTCTCAGCCATGTCAGTTCCAGGTTTCCATCGACGTATGTACAGTTGGTGAATCGGTCCTTCAAATTACGGTAATGGTGGTCCTTGTTGGATGGTACTGACATCCGTCCGTTGGTACCAATACATACTGAAACAAAAAAGGACATATATTAATATAGAGTAAAACGGAAAGATGACGTGAGTGGGATAAAAAGAGAGAGAGAGAGTGAAACACAGACGAAGAATGGAATAAGAAACTAAAATGTGTATCAGCTCGGTTAACTTGGGTTGTTTCGGGTTCCTTGAATCGGTGTGATAATGTAAACAGCGAGTTGGAACATTATCATTTATAAAAGGGCACAAAAACGAGTCGGTTGATGAATGGCTTGTTTCTGGTAGTTAGGTGAGACCGTTTAAAAGGTCTACACGCGGAGAAAAATACAATAACAAAATTAAATATAGCAATAAAATATTTTTTGGTAAAGAAATATATATTAAAATATTTAAATCAATCTTAATACTTATTTTATACTAAAAACTGTTTAAATTCACCTCATTATATATTTTACAATATACCAGTAATATCGCATATCTCAGTAATGTAATACAGGTACGGTCGATCAGTTATTATTCTTCAAAACAGCTATACAAGGTGGTCCGAACTGTATTCCGGAAACTTTGACAGCATTTTCTGCAGATAAAAATAAGTAAAAAAGTTCGTATAAATGTATGTCCTAAAATGCTTACTTACGGAGGTACAGGGTGTAGAAGTTTCATTTTTATTACTATTTTTTCAAAATAATTTCTGAAGTAACGTCAATATTTAGATGAAAATTGGTATCTGGGAGTTCTTTGACATAAGAAATTTGATTTTGATGTCAATATGACTCCTATTTGTAAGTGGCGCCACCTAAATATTTTTTAACTGCTATGAAGAGTAATAACTTTTCGTCAGTACCTGTAGAAAACTACTGAGTGAAAAAAGGTACATTTACGACATTTTTTACGTAAAAAAAGGTCTTTTGGTAAAAATCGCGACGAGCAACCGTTCTCAAGATATTTAGAATGAAAGTACATGTCATTATTGATAAAAAATAAACATGTTCAGTACCTAGATAGTTATTTGACTGAAATGATAAATTTGGGAACTTTTTTGACTGAAATGATAATTTGGGAAATTTAAATTAATCATAAATTTTTGTTGGAAAAAAAGATAATAAAACAGTTTCTGTTGAACTTTTGGCACAAAAACATTTCAAATTTATGATTTCAGTGTAATAACTATTTAGTCAACATGTTTAATTTATGCCAATGATGACAGGTATTGATCATTTAGAATCAAAATATCTCGAGAAACATTACTTGTAGCGATTTTTACCAAGAAACCTTTTTTACATAGAAAACGTCATAAATGTATATTTTTTACTCAGACCAGTTTACCAGATAGTTTACAGCTAATATTCCGTGCCCAGAGACACAGTTTGCTAGAGGGTTGTATTAGCCACAAATAAAGTTTGTATACCATCTCGTGTATAGTATCAAAAACTGGAGTATCTGTAAAATAACATCACACACGATGGATAAATAATACATTTTAGTACTGCAGAGAGATAATGTCAAAAGGTACTGGTTAAAAATAATAAGATTAAAGTTAATTAAGCAAGGTATAATTTAAAAAGTATAAAATTCCGTAAGTGTTACTATAAATAAAATATTTTGTTTTATTTAGGTTGTGTTTTATTTATTCCTTTGCAATATTATTTTTTTATTTGTACATTAGTTCGTATTTTTTTGGTATATGGTGTTTTGTTTAAAATACACACTTGTTTGTTTTGTATTAACACATACGGTAATTTTTTTTAATAAAATAACTGGATAAGATTTTTTTCGTTTTTATACAATATTTTGAAGTAATCACTTGTCACTCAAATTTTGAATATATGAATTTTCTGCTATGCGTTCCAATTGTACCAACTTATTTCTTTCTAAAATAAAATAAACTACTTTGAAATTAAAATGACCGACACATCTATCGCCTATCGCTGTCAAGGAATTTGTCGTTGGACAGACTATAGACAATCGCTAAGCTAGTAGGCTGTTATTAAGCTGAGGAGTGCGGTTCGAAATCAAGGTTAACAAACTAGGCTCCGAACAGATTAGCCATGGCACCAAAAAGAAAACAAGTACCTCCCATTTCTAAAACCCAGTACATAAATTCCCTGGAACTATGTTTTTCAGTGTACAAAATTATGAAAACGATCCCGAAAATTCAGCGACGAATTAACGCTGCCGTTTAAAAAATCCGCTCTATCGAAAATCGGACAGCGAAAAAAATGAGTGCGCACTCTACCAGCTTGCCAACGAGCTTTTTGCCTCGTGGACCCGTTTATTCGGTTCGTTATCAAGATGGAACGGAACAGATTTCAACGCATTAGTTTGGCTTTGTGCCCGGCCAGCAACCAAATTTGTTTTGCGTTTTGTTTTGAATTCCTTTTGTTCGCCGAGATCACGTCCGTTTAAGGTTACGAACGATCTTAGCCAAAACAATGACCACACTTTGGTAATTAATGTTCGCGTTGGAGTACAGGTTCGTGGTTCATGCGAGCATAGATGTTTCTCCGTTTGTTTTTCCTTCTGACGGCGCCGGCGCCGACGGGCGACGCGATGATACGGATATACAGGATCATTCAAAAGCGCGAGAAAACTTTAAGAAGATTATGCTTCATTCAGAATCTCGCAATTAGTGGATAAATTAGTAGTTTCAATTACACTTTATACTTTTTAGTTATCATTCAGCAGCCTGCGTTAGTCAGTTGTATTCATAGAGAATTCCGTTGCAAAACCAGGCGAACCAGACCGGTAAACTACGGTAAAGAGCGGTTCCTGAAAAACATCGGTTTGATACGGAACGGTTTGGTAAAATACTGAAAATGTCAAATGTTGACGTTTTCTAAATTTCAATACCTTTATTATAAAATTTATCTTTTATGCATTTTTAATGTACCTATTCTCTGCTTTTACATTTGCTTCTTCTTTTCAATGGAGTTTAATATTGAAAAGTACTTTATTAATAAACTGTTAAACTCGTTAGACAGTTCAAGTGAAGATTTGCAGGTCCAATATTAAAACAGATCAATAATAAATAAACAAATATAATTAATATTTATATTTTTATAGCTTACAAAACATTCACGATTACTTTTTGTCTTGTTGTTCATGTTTCCTTTAAATGTTCCTGACTTTAAGAAACAATGGCGGCATGATAAGTTTAAATGGTCCTAAAAAGTCATTCTATTTAGTTAATGAAATTTATTTACCTTTACTGCCTACCTCCATTGCTTTTGGATGTAAATACAAAAGATTATTACAAATTTTAGAAATTAAATAAGAATTTCACTCGAACTTCTAATTTTTGCTTGATTACTTTCACATAAATGACATTGATTGACAAACAAAACCACAAAAACCAGCCTTCTCGCACTGGTTAGTTTGGTGACAGTTGTAACCGAATTTTTCAGGAACCGTGTTCCCTAATAAGAAAACATTCGGGAAACCTATAGAAACGGAACATAAAACCACCATTACCATAACCAAGGTAAGGAACGGAATACACCCTTAGCTTATAAGACAATCAACTTTTGATTTCTAACCACAATTTTTCCTGACGGAAGATAATCAAAGGCCAAAAAAACATTTCTCGCAAATTTTGAAGTATAATTAGTGAAAAAGTTAAAAGTTTGATAACTTTTTCTACTAATTGAAATTGTCACCAGTAATTTTGACGTTCTGAATGCTTACATTGAAATTAACGGAACAAACTTCTACGCTAATTGAAACCACTAATTTATTCCACTAATTGCGATGTTCTGAATGAAGTTTTAAGAAAGGTTCCCGTTAAACTGTGAGTTTATAATTTTATTTAAAAAATAAAAAATATAAAGTAGGATAGACGCCTCGCCGTGAGCAAAGTTTTGTCACATTTAGGGAACATTAAGGAACGCTTACTTACGTATCTGCATTTTATTCACTTTTATCAGAGGAGAAAAAAGGGCCTTGTAACGTAACAACGACGTCACCTAGAACACCTTTCCCTTAAAGGAATAAAATGCTCACTGGGAATAACTTGTTGGATCTGTTTTATGTCGTCAATACATATTAGAGGTTGTTAACATTGTTCAAAAAATATAAGTATTAATTTTTTTTTGTCTAAGCATAAAAGTACGAAAATATTTTATTAAACTGACATAAAGTGTCAAATTTAACGAGCGTAACCATAGTTTCTCGTTATATAATTACAAACAAGCTTCGAATTTTAAAACTTTTTATATTATTTGTAACGTTTGAAATTGTTTAAAAATTTATTTGTTGTGTTAAAATAAAAATAAAATGTTCTTGCTAATTATTTTGATAAGTTTTAAATAAAAGCGAAAAGATATACAGGGTGGTCCGAACTGTATTCTGGAAACATCGGCAGCATATTCTGGAGATAAAAATAAGTAAAAAAGTTCGTATAAATGTATGTCCTAAAATACTTTGGAGAAAAGTTTCTGAAATACAGGGTGCAGAAATTTTATTTTTATTTCGATTTTTTCCAAATAAATTCTGAAGTAACGTCAATATTTGAATGAAAATTGATATCTGGGACTTTTTTGAAATGAGAAATTTGATTTTGATGTCAATATGACTCCTGCTAGTAGAGGGCGCCACCTACATATTTTTTAACTAATTTGAAGAGCAATAACTTTTCGTCCGTACCTGTATAAAACTACTAAGTAAAAAAAATATACATAAACGACATTTTTTACGTAAAAAAGGTCTCTTAGTAAGAATCGCTACGTGCAACCGTTCTCAAGATATTTAGAATAAAAGTAGTCAATACATGTCATTATTGACAAAAAATAAACATGTTGAGTAGATTTTTACTTGACTGAAATAATAAATTGGGAACTTTAGTTAACTAGGGATAATTTTCAAAATATTCATGAGCTCAACATTTCCCGGAAATAATTTAAATTCTTGTAGAATACAACATTTTATAGAATATTCAAACCATAATACTTAGCAGTACCTTCTCAAATCATTTTTCTCGCTGTAATACTGTCAGAATTAAAGGGTACTGGGTACAGTCTGGTCGAAATGCGATCGGAA